TGCAAATTTGCCTATATATGCTTTTTTACATAATGTATTCAGCCTCTGGTATATAAGGGGTAGGACTAGGTCTTTTTAAATTACTATTTATTTTTATGGTGCAATACAACTGCTCCCTTAAAAAAGGAAAGGAAAAGAAAAGACCAAAAAAGCAATATTTGAACAATATTTAAGAAAAGAAAAAGATTATATAGCATTGGTTTTGTTTATATTGTATATCCTTATATGTTAGTATATAACAGAACATGCTGTCATTAAAAATTATTGTGAAATTCCTTCAACAAAGGAACCCCAAATATCCATATGTTTATCCATCTATTCAAAAATCAAAAGTTTCATTAAATCCTCCCCTCTTATTACTTTATCCTACAAGTGCTGTAATATTAGCCTTTTAACTGTCAAGAGGGCAAGGAAAATCCATTTATGTTGACCTTGCCTTAGATTCCAAGAGCTGGAATCGGAGAGAATCCAAAAGAACATGTGAATCCTTCAGTATTAAAGAACTTTCAATTCCAAAATTTTTCTGGATTATTAGTATTATTAGTCATTACATTTCTATACTGCTCATAGCCAGAGCTCTCTGGGGGATTAAGAAAATAAAGTTACCCATCCAAATTTCAGCCCTGCCTAGCTTCCAGGATTAGGCAGAATCAAGCACTTCAGGCTGTATGGAAGCTATGTTACCTCCCCCACAAGGAAGCTGATTGGACATTGTGAAAACATATGCAAAAGAAAAGCACTAACAGCATTACACCTCCAACAACTGGCCAATTTAATTAAACCTTTATTAAAGAGAAATTGTAGCAGCCAATATACTCAAAACATCAATTTCTGTTGAATTAACCATAGCCTGAGATCCATAATCCCTTGTGAAATACATAATAATGATGCATTCCATTTGTTAGGCAATACAGGGTGTTCCAATTCATTATCCCAGTCTTGCTTGAGACCCCATGGATCATATTTATTCACTGATATTAAATATTTATAAACATAAATTGTAGGCTGATGTAATTTTTCAGCCTCAGTTAATAATTCCAATAACAAAGGCAGTTCTGAAGCTGTAAATGCAGCAGGACCAAAACTAGATTCTAACAAATGGTTCAATTGTATATTTGTATAAATGGTATAAATGGTTCCGTGCAGCCATAGCTGACAATTTATATTTAGTCTGTGAATCAGAGAAGAGCAAAAAAGTATCATTAGTGCTGACAAGCTGAACCAATGTAAAAATCATCCTGTTCATCCAGATCCACCAAACATTTTCTTGTCTATTTTTAAATTCAGATTTCCTCATAAAGTTAATTTTGCAAACAAATGTTTGTAATTGCCATCAGAGTAAATGCCACACCTCTTGTTGCCTCAGCTGGAGAGAACACTTAATCTACTTGGGTATGACAAGCACTCAATTCATCTACCTAGGGAGATGTTCCAGAAATGACAATTTCAAAAAAGACAAAGGAGAAAATCTAATTTAAGTGAAAAAAGTACAGTTCATCAAATAAGCCCAAAGAAAGATTAGTGAGGCCAAATCCATCCTCTTTGATCAGAAGTTGCATCCTTTTCAAGAATATTAGTGGTGGAGCAGCGCCCCATAAAATATATGAAACAATGCACTGAATTTCAGGAAATACTTGTCAGGTATAAATAAAGGGATGGCGTGTAAAACAGACAATTGGAGATACTACGTAAATTTTAAATGTATTTACCCTACCACATAAACTTAACTTTATAGATGCCCATCTGTCACTGTCTCTTGAGATCTCATTAATCCACTTACTAAAATTTAACTTCATCATTTGTGATATGTTTCTTGGGACAAGGACTCCCAGATAAGTGATAAATTCAACAAAGAGACTGAATTGCCAATTAGTAACACAGTACGGGGTGTATTATCTCTCATAGACATAAGTTCAGTCTGACCATTTAATAGAATAACCAGACAAGTGTCCAAAATCATTAATCATCTGTGTCAAGATTATCATCTGGAACTGATAAGTAAAGTTCCAAAACAATAAAAGGTCATCAGCTTAAAGAATAAGTTTATTTTCTAATGCATTAGTGTTTTGTCTGGTGAAATAACACCAGGGTTTCCAAACATAGATGAAATATCAATGGGAAAAGAGGACAACCCTATCTAGTACCTCTTTCAAGAAAACAGTATGCAGACAAGATTCAGTTGGTCCCAACTCTGTCTCAAAGATTTTTATTTAAAAACAACAAACCATTTCTGAAATACTGGAGAAAAAACAAAATTTCTCACTGTGGCAAAGATAAATTTCCAATAATTTTTTATCAGGAGCCTTATATGTATCCAAAGAGATAATATAAACTTTATCAGTTCTCTTCTTAATTAATGCAGTCTTACCAACAACCAGTCTAAGATTATCAGCCCTTTCCCTGTTTTAATGAACCCAACTCGGTCTAGTTATACTAACCTTGTAATAACTTCTTGTAGTTGGTCAGTTAAAATTGAATTTAATATTTTAATATCAATATTAAAATCAATGACATAGGTTGATAATTAGCACATAGGATATGGTCTTTATCTGATTTAGGAATTACTGTGATACTAGCGTCGTTGAGTATTGATGTAGTAGAAGATTTACAAATAGAGTTCTATAAGTGATGAAGTTGAGGAACTAGAAAACTTGAAAATGATTTATACCACTTAATTGGCAATCCATCTAGAGCAGGTGCTTTCCCTGTTTTCTTAATAGTTATTGCTTTGGTAATTTCAGCAATCAGCAAATGTACCACTGAAAACTGTGTTTGAGGCATACCTGGGCAGGGAAATTATGCTAAAGAAAAAAATTGATATGATTTATTTCACAGTCACTATTGTACAACTCTGAATAACATTTTTAAAAATGAAGATTTATATCTTTAGAATAGATAAGTATCATGCCACTGGCATCTTTAATAATGGAGATGGTTTGATTTTTTGTTGTCTAAGGCAATTTCCCAGTGTTTTACTGGGCCATTCACCATTCTCCTAATATGTCTGTCTTAAACAACTTAGTACAAATTCTTGCTGCTGAGAAAAAAAATCCAACTCATATTTAGCACCTTCTGATAAAGTTGTGGATTTGAAGATGGCGAACTAACTTAGAGGCGTTTCCAACCTGTAATTTAGATCTATTTGTCACTTCTTTTAAAATTCCTTTTATGAGAAATATAGGCAATAATCTGACCCCAAATTAAAGCTTTGCAAGCTTCCCATTCAGTAGAACATGAGTTGGTTATACTATGATTATTTTCAAAATATTCCTGTAACTCATCAGGAATCTTACTTTTAAAAGACGATTAACCCTGCCCCCCTTCCATAAAGTGCTAAAGGTTAGTATGCCTGTAGCTGTTTCTAAGTCACAACTCCAAACAGACTGGAACATGGTTTGATGTTATCAATGTTTCAGTCTCTGATTTGACATAACAAGGATGTGGAAACCAAAAAAAATAATCCAAACAAAAGCAATTATGGTGCACAGACAATATAAATGTATAGATACAATATTCTCCATGTGTTGGTTAGGCCAAATTCTGTCATATTGCCTGAATTTCACAATTCTTTTTAAGGGCGGGTGTAGTCCTATCCAAGAAGAAATACAAGATATTAACACCCTATATCATAATGATACTCAGTATCAAAGAGTTGATGAAACACTTACGAAGCATGGCCAAAGAGTCATTATTAGTCCCATATACATTAATCTGAAACATTATTAGCTCATTGTTTTTTCCAGCCAGAATCAAAACCCAACTTCAGGATTAATAAGGGTTTCTTGAACGGAAAACAAAAATATTTTATGAACTAAGATTGCTACCTCCCTAAATCTGGTTGAAGTATCTGCTGCAAAAACCTCTCCTATCTAGTCACTCATCAACTGATATGTGTCTGCAGTCATCAGGTGCAGTTGCTGCAGGAAAGCCACATAAGTCCCAAATTACTTTAACTGAGAAAGTACATCCTTCTGTTTAATTGGATTCTGCAGCTCTTTGACATTCCAGGAAATGACTTTAAACATGGAATTATTAGGAATATGTTATTTGCCATTGTACTCATACAAATCTTGTTCTTTCTAGAAAAATACCTGTTTCAAAATTACTGAAAGTATAGATTATAGAAATAATATGTTTTGTAATGTCATCACTGTGCCCTGCAGCCTTAAAATGAAAAGAAAATCTAAAACCTTACAATGTAAAAGGAAAAGTTAGTAAATGAAACCTGTCTGAAAGGGGGAACAGGCAAAATCAATAAAACAAATCTTAAGTAACATAAATAAAAATTGGTCCCCAGAAATACAGCATCACAACTCATTCAGCCTCTTACTCATCAATATTATCACTTAGTAATACCAAAAATAGCATTAATTAATGGTATTTCTGATTATTAGGACCAGAAAAACCATTAATTAACCATAATATTGCCTAAACAGAGACGGAGAGAGGGGGCAAGGGAGTGAGGGGTAGAGGAGAGAAGCGAAGAAGAAACAATTCAGTCAGAACATAACAAGAAAAAAGAAAAATGGCAAAATGCCTAGAATTTTATCTGCTCAAAGAATACAAGCCATGGTTCCATATAGCACTCCAGCCCTGAACAATAGCAATCCCACTCATCATCTTCTCTGGCATCTGAGGCTTGACCTGGCACTTTAAAGCCTATCTTTGTCATCGTAAGGGCCAGAAATGTCCTAGTATAAGGAAACAAGCCATGAAACTTGTGATTTCCCAGCCACTGGATTAGGTTTCCGGAGTGGAAATGAATTATTTTTCCTAAGTGTGTGTGGACTTACAGATAACCATGATGAATGCTTGCAGCAACTACCATGCACTGCCAAGAGAGAAGAACAGATTCCCAGAAAGGCAGATGGAGAAGAGCTATCTAACCTGAATGTTCTGTATGCTTGAGAAAGACACTTAATAATTTGTGAAGGCAGATGAAAGGGGCATATCCCTAATTCTTTCACTCTCTTGGATATCTGTTGCCCTTTGTTTTTCAGAAGAGGACGTGGAGAACTTTGATGTAACAAACCTGTCTCAGGATGTGCTGAGGAGCATTGAAGCAGACAGCTTTTGGTGCATGAGCAAACTGCTGGATGGGATACAGGTAGGAGCTACGTCCTTGTCTCCCCTCTCCTTAGATAACTTAAGCCCTTCCCTTCCCAATTATATTTCCTTTTGTTAGAATTTCAGGGGCATCTAAAGGATCTTTTCAAAAGGTGCTGTGCTCACTTTGCTTCCTCACCCAATTTGGCCATTTCCCTTGAATGCTCTGATATATAATACTGTGCATATTCCCTACTTAAAAAGCACACCCACACACACTTAAAATGCTACCTCCGGGCAATCTGACTTCTTCACCAACCTCCCCCCCTCCCCAGTTCTCCCACATAAATGAATTCTGCCAATTCAGGACATCTGCATAAGTTTTCTTGTTCTCCACATTTCTGTCATTTGTTCTGGTTTAATTAGTTGTTGGGAAAGAGAAAGAGTTATGTTGTTGTTGTTGTTGTTAGTCACGAAGTCGTGTCTGACCCATCGCGACCCCATGGACCACATTCCGCCAGGCCTTCCTGTCTTCCACCATCCCCTGGAGTCCACTCAAGCTCACACCAACTGCTTCAGTGACTCCATCTAACCACCTCATTCTCTGCCATCCCCCTCCTCCTTTTGCCATCTATTGTTCCCAGCATTAGGCTCTTCTCCAGGGAGTCCTTCCTTCTCATTAGGTGGCCAAAGTATTTGAGTTTCATCTTCAGGATCTGGCCTTCTAAAGAGCAGTCAGGGTTGATCTCCTCTAGGACTGACCAGTTTGATCGCCTTGCTGTCCAAGGGACTCGCAGGAGTCTCCGCCAGCACCACAATTCAAATCCTTCGGCGCTCAGCCTTCCTTATGGTCCAGCTTTCACAGCCATACATTGCAACTGGGAAAACCATAGCCTTGACTATACGCACTTTTGTTGGCAGGGTGATGTCTCTGCTTTTTAGTATGCTATCTAGATTTGAATGAAGGTAGTGACAGATTTTATTTTCCTGGGCTCCAAGATCACCGCAGATGGGGACTGCAGCCAAGAAATTAAAAGACGCTTGCTCCTGGGGAGGAAAGCCATGACAAGAAAGAGTTATACAGGATACTAAAACCCTACCTTGCATTTCCTGGAAAAGTTAATGGTTTTTCCTATGGTCTTCTCTGGCTGCTGGCCTTCTCTGGCCCACATAAACATGCCTTCAGAGCCATGAGGGCTAGAAACTTTATTTAAAACAAACACAATAGCTGGGATTTTCAGGAAACTGAATTGTGCATCCAGTTTTATATTCAGTATTTGTTTGTGCTCTGCAAAAGCTATATTCATCCAATATACTACATATTTATATGGTTCACATGATACAAGTGAGCCTGGGGCATGTGCAAGATGCATGCTGGTGCCAGTTTGCATATCCAACCCTTGCTCAGTGGTTGCTGTGTTGTGTGAACCTGGCAAGTATGTTTTTCATGAGGGTTAACCCTTGCATAACTTTAGAACAGAACATAGCTAATTGCCAGTTGCTTAAACCTCACATAACCCATGCTTGCTGGGTTCACCCAGCATGTCAACCTCCAAGGGGCACAGTGGTGCCTGCAGCTGTTCCATTATGAACTGTGCCTTGTCATATGAGGCAGGTCATTTTTCTCAGTGTATTGGTTTCTGAATGTGGCCACTGCTGGATGGAACATACAGGGTCCATGTTAAAATAGGAGAAGCAAAGAGTCATCCTTCCAGTAAATATTTTTCTCAGTGCCTGACGGTTGGATGTTGAGGGACCTCTTGGGAATGAGAAACACACTTCTCTGAACATCTGGAATTATAAACCTTTGATGGGAATGCGCTAGACTACTTGACTCTGCATTTGGATTTGAACTTACATTATTTTAGGGAGTGCTACCTCAAACTCTTGCCTTCCTTCTCTGCTAGCCACTGCTAGTGAAAGCTCCACAAATGATCTCATCCATCCAGTGCCCACCACCACCTTACGCCAACCCAGGGCCATAGCTTTGGGACAGAATATGTTGTACGTATAAGATCCCTGGTTCCATCTCTGGCAGTTTGTGAGAAGATCTGCTTGAAACCCTGGGGAGTCGTTTCCAGAAAGGACAATTCTGAGCTAACTGAAAGCAAATGTGGATATGTTTGCTGGACCTGCTTCTCCTTAAAACTCTCAATGTATTTGTGCTGTAGGACAACTACACATTTGCACAGCCAGGAATCCAAAAGAAAGTGAAAGCACTGGAGGAGCTCGTCAGTCGTATTGATGGTAGGTAAGCTTCAAGTGACAGAAGGAGAATTTGAATGTGCCACATCTTGTTCACATCCACAGCTGGGGATACACATTGAGGGAAAGATGATGGAACTGGACTGTACAGAGCTAAGGTGAGGCAAAAAGCAGGGTTCTAGAAACTTCTTTGGCCAGGTAGCTGCGCTTACTGGTAGGCAGACCAGGATGCTGAATCTGTCGTGTAGATGACATTAAAGAATGTCGGAGATGGGATACTGCTAGGGAAAGGAGTGGTGAAAAGCCGTTAGCTGACAGGCATGCAAGCGGGCATATGATTCAGCAGGAAAAGGCTGAAGGGTTTAAACTGCCTGCAGGAGGTATCTCAACTGTGCCCGTGGGAGGTATTTGACAGGGGTTACTTTTGTGGGAGGGGCTCAGACTGAACGAAGCTGCAGATGACTAGAATATGAGTGGATGGCGGTGCTGCTTCAGAGATACGCTTATGAGGACTGACAGCGGGGGCATTGTGTTCAGCTGTGTAAATGGAATGTGCTGTTTCAGAGCAGGTACACAATCACTTTAGGAAGTATGAAGTGGAATACCTGCAGTTTGCCTTTCGCTGGATGAACAATTTACTGATGAGAGAGCTTCCTCTTCGCTGCACCATTCGCCTTTGGGACACATACCAGGTAGGTGGGTGTGTGCACTTAAACCTGCTGTTGGAAGCCTTCCAGGAAGCCTGCCCTGATACGAATGCTTATTGTCTGTGCATTACTGGCGCTGACCAGACAACTGCTCTGCTGTTGGGATTTCACATGCTCTCTTTTATGTGCCAGCATGCTCATGTGTAGATGTAAAAGAGCTCAGTCACACCTACGCACAACCCCGTAAAAATGTGGAAGAGATAAGGCATGCTAATTCATTATTTCTAACCCTAAGTGTTGTGGATTTTGTTTTTCAGTCTGAGCCAGAGGGATTCTCTCACTTCCATTTATATGTCTGTGCTGCATTCTTGATTAAGTGGCGGAAAGAGATCTTGGATGAAGAGGACTTCCAGGTAAATCTTCAGAAGGCAGCAACATGGAAGAAAGGACGAAGCACGATTATCCCACTTGAGGCATTTATTTATATACGGCAGCTTTCCCCTATACCTTCCAAATGTATTATACTCTATCTCCCAGTCCCCTAGTATGGCTGCCTGGCTGAAAAAAGTTTGTTAAAACCTGCTTTATGCTTTGTACATGCTGTTTCAGGAATGCTGGGTGTTACAGTCCAATACATCTAGAGGGCCTCAGGTTGGGAAAGGCTCATCTACAGTAAGATAAGAGGCCGCAAACTGATATCTCTGACATGACATGAAATGACCCAGGGAGCTAGACAGTTATCATGCATAAGTGCTGAGGATCCGTTTACCTGCCTCTGGGATCTGCTAACCTTAGTATTTCACTGTTAGGAGAGGAGTTGCATATTCTGTGTTCAGGGTTTTGATCCCAGTTGTGAAATACATTACCCTGTTATCAGGGTCCCTTTCCCCTGAAAAGGTAGGTATCAGTTATCTGTTAGTGATGATTCATACCTTCTTGAAATAACACAGCATGGATGAGAGCACATCTTGCTTCCATTTCTGTACCAAGTTCCTTTTTTCATTTCAGGGCCTTCTAATGTTGCTACAAAACCTGCCCACGATACACTGGGGCAACGAAGAGATTGGACTCCTCCTTGCCGAAGCCTACAGACTCAAGTACATGTTTGCAGATGCCCCCAATCACTACCGCCGATAAGTACCACGGTTCTGCCTCGGCTACCCATCATGCTGGCCCAACCCCAATCACTGTGGCATTTCATCACCCAAGTCCTTGGACACCCTGACCAGGAGCCACTCCTTGATGTAAAAAGCTCACGTTGGACTTCTGTCTTAATTTTTGCGTGTGCCTGCCTGCCACTCCGTGTGTGGATGTGCCACTCAAACCATTAGTATCCCATGCTGTGATGGTGGCCTGAGCCCGGGTGGGAGCTATAAGAATAAACTGAGTCTCTGAATGCCCTCCAAGCTCCAGCCTGGGTCATCTATGCCTTGCAGCCTCTTGTTAACCCGTCTAAGCACGGACACACTCGCGCACTCCCCAGCTGGGCCCGTGTTGTTTGTTTTTCTTCAGATGCTGTTCAATCAAACTTCCCCAATGAAGATGCCTTACAAAGAGTCCTGCCCAGGGAATGGCAGTGCTGTTGGACAAAAGAAGCTCTCAGGGCTTAGCTTCACTCCATGCGTCTGAAGAAGTGCAGCATTTCAGAGGTTCAGACGGGACACATACTCTCCACTTACACACATGCATGTGCACACACACCTCTCGTGCAGCATGTCTCTCTGCGTAGGTTGGTGTACATGTGTTCAGAAGGCTGTCTTGTCCGCGCACAGTTTGGAATGACGCAATTGAACAAGACAGAACTCCTCCTGTGATTGACTGACTGACTGACTGACTGACTGACTGACTGATCGATTGACCTGCTGTGTGCATTGAAATGGAGGGTGGGGGAGCTGTGCTTCTAAAAATTTCCTTTCTGCGACAATGGCACTCCTCCAAGGCATTATGTGTATATTGTGTTCTTGTGTATATGGGTAAAAGATGTACAATATAAGTCTTCTGTTTGTAGCAGATATGATTTTATATTTATAATATGCGCCCCAAGCTTGTACAGGTGGCCTAGGTTACAAATAACAGTGGGCCTCCCAATCCCCTGGTTGTCAGGGTTTTGGAGCTGTCAGAATACCTGCACTAGCACGTTTCCCTGCCCTCCAGCTGCCCACTCAGCCCCAGCTCCAGGCGTGCACATTTCATTTCTATCAGGAAAAACTTGACTCCAAAGCGAAACAGCGTTGCGTGGCCTCTGGTGCTGAAGAAGTGGGAAAGATTGAGGAAGTGGGCATTTGCTACTGCAACAGGCACCTTGGACTTGCCGGGACTTGACCTGAAGGTTGTCTGACCTCCCCGTCAGTGCTAGAGCGTGCCCTTGCCGAAACCCTCTCAGTGCCCTTGCTTGTCCTCTTCAAAAAGTGCAGCTATGGTTGAGACCACTCCTGTAGGTTGCTGGACTTCAGACAGCAAATGGATCCTGACCTCTCTTTCCTGACATTCCTCCTCCCAGCCCTAACTGAAATCTGCAATCTTCCATTCAGACAGTGGGGAGGCCACAAATGGGCTTCTCTTTTCAAGGAGCTGAACTGTTGTGGCAAGATAGGAGACAGCACCTTCTGCCCATGCCCCTCCCTCTTTTCCCCACTATTCTTCAAGGTGATTTTCAGTGAACAAAGGAGAATGTGTTTTTAATTTAACAGTTTATTCCAGCCAGCAGGCGCAGTCTCATTAGTGCCAAGCCGTGACCTGTCAGGTCAGATTTGTTCCCCTGGACTGAGCTCCTCAGCTTGGTGCTGGGTTGACTTCTGCTCATGTCATCAGGCTTCAAACCCACCCTGTTTTGTTCTCTCTCTTGGGGCTTAAGATGGAAAGCAATTCACTGGCTTTTCTTTCCGTGATGACACCAGGGGACATGGGAGGCATGAGAAGGCGAGGGCCTTGCCGCCATTCAAATGCCAAGCAGTGTCTCTCGAGTTGCTTTCCTAACCTGGAATTGTTTTCTCAGGCATTCTGACTTGATTTTCTTTTGTGTGTGTGCCTTTTGTTGTTTCCTCTGAGACAGCGACCTGGTGGTCATTAGTTTAACATGACTAATTAAAAAAGAAAAACCACCCTGTGTTTGTGAACTTTAATTATTGGTGGGTTGCGAGTAACCAACAGGCGTTTTTAGAAATATTCCTCTCTTTCCTGCTTCTATCTCATGTTGTACTGGATTCTACTGTAAAGTGGCTTTTAATTCCAATGATTTCTTTTGAGAAGTTTCATTTAAGTCCCAGATCTATTCTTGAACTGGAAATTTCCAATCAGTGCTGGTCAAGTGGATAGATCCACTGTCTTTTAGAATGAATGCTTGGGTGAAATCTGGGATCATTACCTCAAACATGGAACTAGAATGGGGTTTCATTAATGTAATGGAAGTGAAAATTCTGTGGCCTTGTGAGTAGAGAATGGGGGAAGGAGAATAGATTGTCAGCTCCCTTTCCTCTCCAATGGTTTGCCAGAATGATTTGGATAACAAGATTTCTTTTAGGGATCCAAAGGAAGTCTGTTTTCTCTTCCCAGCTTTTGTCTTCGTATAGGCCAGCATAGGTCATACCATTGGGGTGGCTATGTGGATATATGGTTCCTACTACCTGGGGCTTTCAAAGAGCACAATCTCATACTTGCTTGAGCCAGTCTGCTTGGTCTTGTCAACCAACCCTGGACTCAAGACTCATTTCAGTAACATTCAACACCAGAAGGTCAAGTGGCTGCTCAGGCAGGCCAGAGAAATTAATACACCATAAACCTGTTTTCATTAAAGGAAGTTTTGGGGGCACTGATTGCTCTGTTAGCTACAGTGGCATTCAACAGTGTCACCAGTGTCAATCCATTGAGAGCTTGCTTCTTAATGGTAGCCATTGCAGCTTGAAATGGTTCATATGGCCATGGATCTCATTGGTCTTATCCGCTTTCCATAATTGTTCTTCATGGCCAGAGCTGGGAGAAAGTATGATTCACCTAACCAAGGCAAATGAACGTGATCGAACATTTGAAACAATGAGGTCACTGTTATGCCACGGTAAGTTCTTCTGATTTATTCCCATTAATTATTGTTGTTTCTAGTGCCCAAAATGTAGTTTTGAATCTATTGAGAGGAGCTCACAGCTGGAATTGGACACTCTTCCATTTTTCATGCAGACTGGGCTGGGCACAGCAGGTCACTCAAACTTTCTCTCCCCCACCCTAAGTTAATTACTATTAAAATAAAAAGTTCACTGGAGTGGAACAAACGTAATTACTTTTTGGGAGCCTAATTATCTGCATTTATTGCCAGTGCTTTGTTGTAATTGATTGCTAATGGTCTGCTTCGCTCTGGAATTATCTAATTAATACCCCCACAGAAGAAATCAGACTCCTCTCTGAAATGACGGGTTTCTGCAGTCCTGTTTGCAACTATCTCTGTTTGGGAGCCTCCATTGTGCTGCCTTTGTTTATACCTGGCTGCATCCTTCAGGCTTAGTTGCTTTACCGTGCTTACAGCACCTGGCTCCATTTTCACCTGCAAAACAGCTTGCTCACTGCAGGGGGCAGCTCCTGAGGATGAGCTTGACCCTGCTGGCACAGTTTCAGCACATCTCTTTCCTTTGATATCTGCTGCATCCTTATGCCTTTGTCTTTGTTCTCGAATTGTGTTGCCTCCCAGTAATTGCCCCCCTCCTGCAAGCTGCAGTGATGGCCATGTCTGTAAAAGCAAGGCTCACCAGTTACTCCTTACCCCTGAGTTGCTCTTACACCAGTTAATGTATAAAATACCTTACTGCCTTTCCTGCCTGCCTGCCTGCCTGCCTGCCTGCCTGCCTGCCTGCTACAAATATGTCTTTTCTTGTGGGGATCAGCGCAGTGTTCCACACATCCCTTCAGAAACATCTTTTCAATGTTCCACAGCCTAGAAATGTAGACTGTGTAATCTGAAAGCTTGCTCACTGAATTGTGAACAGGGGTTCAGAACTTTCCTTGCGAGAGTGAGCAGGATCTTGCCTGGCACCCATACTCCCCATCACCAACCACATCTGTCAGCATGGGTTTGGTGCGTATGGGACAGGTCCCTGTGCACCACAAGGTAGGCACATGGGGCATTCCTTCGTAGAGGGTGCATCTAGTGCCCATCAGGTCAGTACGGGCATGGGCAACAGATAAGTGGGCATGGTCAACAGGGGACTGGTCTACCTTTAATGCAGAGGTGTAGGGATCCTGACCTGGGGAGCCTCCAAGGGTTTCTTCAGGGCCAATGAGTCAACTCCCAAGTCCTGTGCTAAGTGCAATAGGTAAAGAAGGGATGAAGCATGCAGGGCCTGCTTAAAATGCTGGAAGGATGTGAAGGAGTGAATGGGATACTTTAGACACAGAACACAATGCAGTCTTAATTGTATTGGAGAGAATGAAAATCGAAGCTAAGGTAATGTGGCAATTTAAGCAGAGTTACTACAGAGCAAAGAAGGGTGTTAAGTGTTAGTAGGAGGAGCCGTCAAAGCAAATAACATTGGTTGTCATATTGGCAATTCCAGGATAAAGAGGAGATGGGAATGTAGCAGGTTTGAGAAGAGCATAGGCGCGACAGGTGCACACCTCTCTATTGTCTAGGACCAAATTTATCTCCTATCCTCATCTGGTATATGCAGGAATGAGAAGGACATTTCCCGAAGGGCTTCCTCAACATCTCCTATGTAATGCAAGCTAGTCTGGGGCTAATTCATGTGAACTGCTTGATGTATGCACATCGAACGGCTCTAAGCATGTAGAAACTGCTTCAGTACAGACATGTATGCTTAGCTCAAAATTTAATTTACATTTGCCTGCAGCAAGCAATCTCACATTATTTCTACCACCACCACAAAAAAGAAGTATTGCAAACAGCAGAACAATTTCCACCTTACAGGATATTCAGATTTTACCTGAAGAAGAAACTTGGGAAGATGCAAATCGTATTGCACTTACTTAGTTGCATAATATATTCATTTGCATGTTAATAGGCCCTGGGTCACACAGGAGCCTCTGACCAATGTTGCACTTTGTGGAAATGCTCCAGGTAACTGTAACCACTAGCAATTCTGCTGGCTGCTCTCTTCAAATATATTCACAGGCCTACTTCTCACAAATTGCAAAGAAGTTGGTAAACCTGAGTCAAGACTGTGCCGCTTCTGACTGCAGGTAGGTTCACACGATAGAATTCTCCTGCATGGAAAAGTATGCATAGAAAACTAGTATGTCAGAAAGGGATCTGCTCAAACACACAGGCGAACAATTCAGAATGGAAGGTGGATAAAAAATTTATGCCTCCATTTCCCACTTCTATCTGATTTATCTTCTCCCAAAGCAGCTTCTTTTTAAAAAATGTAATTGAGGCATGTAACGTGTAGCCAGGCCTTCAGATTCCTATGTAAATCAGGCCTGGATATGAAGGATCACACTGACACTTCATGTGTGCCAAATTCTTCACGAATCCTTTCAACACAAAAAACTCAGTATGCCAATGTTATGAATTGGCCATCATCCTGCTTACTGCCAAGGCAAAGAAAAACTCTAGTTGGCTACAGAGTCAGAAGATTATCCCGCTAAATGAATTAGCCCCTCCTCATTGCTTCTTCAAGGATTGTCAACATATACATCATAGCCAACAATGGAGATCGTATTGCAATCTCCTTAAATTTGTCCAGCCATTCATTGCCATAGAAAAAAACCCATGTAAGGCAAGGTATAAAACATGATAAAATGCTATGTTTTAGTAAAAAGCCATTTACTGCAATGAAAAAATAAGGCAGCAAAGGAAGCAGATATTTATTCTGCCTCAGATAAATATAGATAATTTATTCCAAGTAGAGACATCATTCCACTCTAATGGAAGTTGTTATGTAGCCATGCTCTTAACCTTATTTTAAATCTCTGTAATCAACTTTGTGCAGGAAAAAAGTCTCTTATTTGCTGCCAAGTAATAGTCTGGTCTCTGTCCGAGAGAAGGCAGACTTTAGAAGACAGGTTAGTCCTGGGTTTAAGAAACAGGAATTTTTAAAAATTGTATATGCTAACAACAAACCCATTCTTTCAGTGTCTTATGTTTTTATGTAGCCAAAACATAACCATCCATTCAGAAAATGGAGGTACTAGTAGCATTGGAGGAAGCCCAAGATTTGCATGTATGCCCCAAGCTCTAAGGGAACAGAAAGCCTTCAGAAGATCCATGCAGAGACATAGCATGCTCAGTGGCTATGGAATGCTGACTGACTGTTGAAGAGGATATGGAAAACTGGGAGTGGGAAAGGAAGAGCGTGTGGCTGGCTGGTTGGCTGGCACCTTGAACCAAACTACACACCAGGGATCTTGTTCAATCTGTTCTTGAATCAACTTTTGTTCCACCAGGGCTGGCCCACCCTTGAAGCAGGGTAAGGTGCTCACACAAGTCTGAGGAATCTGTAATTTGGAAAAATCTGACCTGGCAAAATCCACAGGTCAAATTCACTGAAATCCAGATTTGTCTGACTTCCCCACTCCATTTGCAACTTCTTATTACAGGTTCCATTGGTTACCCTTTCCCAAGAAGCTCATGGCAGTGTACAGGGTGGCATCCCCTGCTGTTCCTTTATGTGTGCAGCAAGTCTGGAGGCTTCCAGATGGAGTGCTCCAAGCACTACCAATTAAAGGCATTATGCAGATAGTCTGTCTTTCCTCCACAGCAAGTAGTTTGAAAAAGAAAAAGAAGAAATGTAAGAAGCAACAAGAAAAACCGGAAGGGTTACAAATTCTATGCAGCACCGTTTGCCTCTCCCGTCCCCAAATAAAATTCCATGAGTGGCAGGGCAATCACACAATAAATTGCTCATCTGGAAGCATCCTCTGCTGAGTTCATCTAAGGGTGACTAGCCCAACATCCCCCATACACTCAGGAATGAGTTTTGAACATAGGAGAAATGGATAGGCTGGAGTTGTAGGACCCTTTTTCCATCTAAGCATGCACGGGATTGTCTCCTAGGACAACCTATATGGCCGGCCAGCTCATTCAAAGAGAGATTACATCTGTGTCCTGTGATGGGACTTGGTTCCCAATTGCTCAGGGTTCTGCTGCTCTGTCTCACTA